CCACTCCCACTGCTGAGTTGCTCACAGGTCTCCAACTGGGAGCTGCCATTGCTGCTCACCCCCAGGAAGCTATCCTAGATCCCTGGCTCAGGGCCCCATCTCCCATCCTCTGAACCCAATGTGGCCATGTTCAGAGGCAACGGACCTGCACAGCTGGCCACCTGTCTTGGAAATTGCCATTTTCTCACCTTTCGTTTTCTTTTCATATTCAGCCAAGAACGCTGCAAAGCACAGAATCAATGTGATAAGAAAATGCTGCTTGTACCCTGAAGGCTTCCTTGCCACTTGCCGCCCTACCAAGTCCCTCCAGCAGAGGGCAGGCTGGGTGCACAGCTGGACTAGGATTGCTCTCAGTCTAGGGCAGGGATGCCAGGGGCCTGAGGACAGGGAGCTCACTGCTCAACTCTCTGTGGACATGGCAGAGACTTGAGGCTTCCAGTGACAAGGCCATGCTATTCCCACATGCTATGTCAGCTTGAGCACCTGCTGTCACACTGCCAACCTCGCTGACCTCCCTCTGAGACATGGCCAAATGTCATCAGCAGCACTGAGGTCTGGGGGCATGGGGCATCAGAAGTAGCATTGCTGTGGGACTGGGCACTCTGGGGCTAGGGAGGACACGGGCTCTTGCTGGAGGTCAAGGGGCAGGGAGAGGCTCTTTGTCCCCACTCTGCTTTCCCAGGGCTGGGCCCCTGTTCACTCACATCCTCTGAATCTTTGTCTTTGTGCAGCAAGGCCAGGTGTGTGAGGATGGTGCAGAGCTGAGGGACAGTGCCCTTGGGATAGTCCTGTGACATTGGGTAGAGATCAGAAGGGTGGCACTTGACACACGGGCAAGGTCTGTGGCCCTGCCCTCTACTCTTGTGCAGGCCTTAGTGCTGTGGCTGCAACTCATTGCTGCAACATGCCATCTGAGCAGAGGCCAGGTGTGATGGGGCATTAAGGGAGTGGGCCAACAGGTCGGTTGGGTTGGGGGACCCCCCTCAACTACTCCTTCTAGAAAGCCCCTGGCCTCAGGCATGCACACTCACCAATTGTTGAGGCTTCTTGCAGCCTCTCTTGAGTTTCTTCCAGAAGCTCTTGTATCTGGACTCTCGCCCCTGGCAGCAGTTAGCATGGATGTGGAACATACTCATTCTCTAACCATTCAACCCTCCAAAGTCCCCTCTTGCCATGTGGTGTGACAGCCATGGCTTGGGCCCTAGGATCTCAGGCTCCCTGTGACCATCAGCACTGTATCCCTGGGCAGGCCAGAGCATATCCCAAGGCTTGTCTCCATGGTGGATGTGGCCATTTGCATCCCCTAAAAGATGTTTCTGTGGCTGCCTGATCTGGAGGGACATCTTGACCTCACATGACTGGCTAGGCTTCCCTCCTGGGATGGGGAGGCCACCCAGAAATAGAGCCAGGGCATGGCTTGGGGGTGCCAGGCTGGCGGGGTGTAGAGAGGCAGCCTCAACACAGGCCACACTCAGGAGGAAGCTTGACAGGAAATCTCAGCAGCAACCTTGACAACCCAACCCTGTCACTTTCTCCACCCTCCTCAGACACCCAGGTGGCCTCCTCCACTTACTCCACTGGGTCCCCAGGGACCCCCTGTTCCCCACACACTTTATCCTATACCCAAGCCCACGAGGGATGCTTCTAGCCTAGCTATAAGCTATGTTAGAATATGCCACTAGAATTCCATCAGAGAGGAAATCGTCTCCCTCCCTCCGTGGGCCAAAACTTATTCCAGGGCTCATACCACCTTGTATACTTGCTCATGGCAGTACATCATCTTCAGCTCCTGGAAGACCTGAAGACTCTTCCTGGAGGATGGGCAGAGAGAAAGTGACAGATGGGAGAGGGAGAGAGTGGAGGAGTGTGAATGCATTGCCCATTTTGAGGCAGGACTTCATCCTAATGGGAACAGAGGGGTGCAAGATCCACTCTGACCTTTAGGTCACATGGTTTGGAGCAAAGTCATGCAGGGAAACCGCCAGCTTCACCCCAATTCCCAGAGTGGTTTTGTTTGGAAGAGCACTGCATAGACTGGTGTGGCTGTGATGTTTATGAAGGAAAAAGTCTCCAGGGGCCTTGTGCAATGTGTGGCACAAAAGGAATCCCAACCACACAGGCAAATCCTAAGCAAGGCCATAGATGTCTGAGTTGGGCAGAGCCGCAGTCCCTGCCATGGGGAATTGCCACTGGGCTCCCAGATGAGGGACGCTAGGCCGAGGAAGCAAGGGTTGCCCAGGAGAAAGGTGCACCCACCTGCCAACCAACCCCCACATCTTCTTCAGGCCTTGGAGCTGGCTGCTCTGCAGAGCACACGTGATGGGAACGAGGGTGCAGCTGTTCCTAAGAAGGAGTCAGCAGAGCCCAGAATACAGTGGGTGAACTGCCTAGAATGGGTCACTTTTTTCTACTGAGTAATAATACTGTTTGTCTAACACTTGTTGACTGTGTTTGCAGTTCTGCAGGGAAGATCATAAAACAATGTTCACTTGATGATACAATTGTAAGAACACAGTGCATCTTTACTTTTCATGCATGTCTTAAAAGTTAAACATTTTTATCTATTTGATTTAATGAGCAAATTTAACATCAGAAATATGGTAGGTTTTATTGTTGTTTTTGCTGGTGCTGGGGCTTGAACTCAGGGCCTGTGCACTGTTCATGAGCATCTTTGTGTTCAAGGCTAGAGCTCTATCACTTGAGCCACAGCACCACTTCCAGCCTTTCATGGGTAGTTCTTTGAGAGAATACAACAGGAAGTCAGGCAGTGCAACTGTAAAGCAGCTATCTAAGCAGAAACTGTATTTCCCCATGAGCCCCCAAACTGGGCACTCACTCTGCTCCATGCTGGGCAGCAAGACATGGACTTTCCTGCCTGAGCAGGCTTTGAACCATGATCTCAGATTTCAGCCTCCTAAGTAACTAGTTACAAGCGTGAGCTACTGGCAGCCAGCAATGTGGTTCTTTGTTCATTGTTGCTGTTTTAACAACCCTCTTCAGATTCTATACAAGGAGTTCTTTTAGAAATGCAGAAGACTCACTAAATTTAATTTGTATCTAGTCTTTGAAACACGTGAATGGATCAGACATAATTCTTGGCTCTGTTTGGCTGCACTAGGCAAAGTCCCTTGTGCTTTTGTCAAGCCTCTCAACACCTTTGACTCCTACTCCATCCACCTTAGCCAATCTGAACTCTGGCCACACAGAGAAGAAAAGCTCTGGTGATAGTGCTTTTGTTTGTGAGCTCTCACAAATGTATTAGCTTCCTGGAAAACGCTCACATTCAAACCAGCCTCTGCTCATTCAGCTGGCACAGGCAAGGCTAGAGTATGAGAAGAGAATAAAGGCTGTTAAAACAGAGGCAACCACAGCCAAGGCTGCTCACTTTGGAAAGGCCACAGCTAATGGAAAGAAAGCTCCATCTTCATACAGGAAGGTGTTCTTGCTCTCCTTTTGGGGCAGCTTAGCTTCCTGCCTCTGCTGAGTTCTTGAGCTGCTGTGGAAATAGGAGTTGGCACTTAGGAAGGTGCAGATGCCACGTCTTAGCTCATCTCTGACCCAGTTCTCAAGGAAGGACTGAGAAGGCCACCAGCACAATCCTAACATTGTTCCGATGTGTCTGTGTTCCCTGGCCCTGATGTAGGGACACAGGTCCCATCAGATGCTTTTCCCAGGGTGGACAGAGTGGCACACATCCTGGGCCCATGACCCCATTAGAGAGACACATGTGGATGGTGATGTGCTTCAGGAACAGTGCGGTCTGGGACTCAGAGTTCCATTGAGTAATTCAGTGCTAGATACTGAATCATAACAGCAGCTCCACAGAGAGAAAATGGTCACAGACAACTTGAGCAAGGATATTAGCATCAGGGGAACAAGTGACTGAGGTCCCTCAGAAAGAGGGTTGTTCACCAAAGTGGGCATAGAGAGCAAATGTCCCACTGTCTTGCTGCCCCGCATGGAGCAGAGTGGGTGCCAGTTTCGGGGCTCATCTGGCCAATCCATGGGGAAATTCAGTTTCTGCTTTGATAGCTGCTTTACAGTTGTATGTCTGACTTCCTGTTGCATTAAATTACTCACAGCTTTCCCTCTTGGTCTGTGCTCAGAAGTAACCCTTAAACTTTTCCTGATCATTTCAGCTTGTCCAGAGAGATGCTCTCTCCAAGGTTAAATTAATATCCTTTACTTGTGATTTCAACTTCTGTTGTGGTCCTGGTGTGTGTAACTGTAAGAGAAGATGATCACAGAGAACACTACTGAGTTCTTCAAGTCCTACCCAAGGCCAGGTGGTGGTTTCTTTACTCAGCCACCATGAGAAGTGGGCTCTAGCCTCCCGGTGAGAGCCAGGTCACAGTGCTGAGATCTGGACACTCAGAACAGCACCGGCCACAGAAGGCAGCGGCTGATGCTGCTGTACTCACAACTAAGGCCACACCAATGACGCAGTTGGCTAACAGCTGTGCCATGCTGTACCAAGCAGAATGATGGCAATCACACCGGAAGAAATTGTTCAGGACCAAATTTAGTGCCCCCTCTTTTTTTTGCTAGTCCTGGGCTTGAACTCAGGGCCTAGGCTCTGTCCTTGAGCCTTTCTGTGCTCAAGGCTAGCACTCTACCATTTGAGCCATAGCACCACTTCTGGCTTTTTTTTCTGTTTATGTGGTAATGAGGAAATCGAACCCAGGGCTTGTTCATTTTCATATAGAACTGTAACAATGAAATTTTCTCCTGTAGAACTAATCCAAACTAATAAGAAAAAAATTTGTTTTAATTCCAGTAAGGCAAAAAAGGAGAAATGCCTAATGGTTTCACAGCTTTTGCTGATGTTTACAAATAACATGATATTCCACATCCCTTATACTACAGAAAGATATAATATCATATAAAAATTTAGACTATACAACCACATTTATATGATTCCACAACCTCTATTGTCTGCAAGTTGGTATTCCAAAACTTTAAGCCAAATAGAGAACAGAGACCAAGGAAAACAAAAGTAATCATTTTGACATGTTTATTACTTTTTACTTGTACAAACATCAGATGTGCATGAGTTAAAAAAATTAAGGAAAATGTAGGGTGTTAAAAAGAAATACAAAAGAAATCTGAGACATGAAACAAATATGAATTAAAATAAGAAGGTATTCACATACTACAAATTCAATATATTAAGAAATCCTTTGATCCAGATACAGCATGAGCCTCTGCCTTCAACTATTCACAAACAAGTCAGCCTGAGTCCCAATGAACAGAGAAAGGCCCATGAGAAGTCCTGATGGCCACAGGTGGGGACCAAATGAGTGGATGAGGGATGATAGCTATGAGGTATCACCACACACACACACAATCCTTCATTATCTGTTCCAGGCCAGCCGTAGAGGTCACCACATCAACCGTGCATGGGAGACTTACTCCATCGTGTGTCTTCAGATGACCTTCAGGACGGGTTCTTCACACTTAGGAAAAATGGAGACGAACCCTGAGCTGTGGAGTTGAGGCCAAATGCTATATGCGCTGACGCTGCCTGCCCAGGGTCTGCACTGAAGGTGAGCTGTGATGAGACTGGGAAAGGTAAGGGTGTCCCCCACTGCTGTGGAGGGGACTGTGGCCTGCTGGGCCTTGCTGGTGCTCCTGCGGATGCAGACACAGGGCTTGTCTGCCAGGACCCTGACGGCCCTAGGGGCCATCTCCTCCTCTGCCCTGGCTTCCCAGGGCTCAAATTCCCACAGGCCCTGCTTCCTTCTGTGGTTAGGGAATGAGGCAGCATTGCTGTGACTACTGCTCACTTGCCATGTGTTTCCTTGCTTATGAGGGTAAAACACTTCCGTTTTCTGACGTGAAGGGATCCTTGGACTTTGCCATGCACAGCCACTCTCATCTCAGCCATGCTTACCCACAGCTTCCCTGTACAGGGCCCCTGGGCCCATGCACTGGTGTTGGTGATCTCACCAACACACATCTCATTCTAGATGTGTGACCCTGGACCGGTCCCCACCCATCTCTGCCCATGGACTGTGACACTGAGGTACTAGCAGTCCCTACACCTCAGAACACCGCTTTCCCATAGCCTGAGCTTCTGTTCTACAGTGCCTGACACAGACACAGTCTAGTCAAGGTCACAAACATGAACATCTCCCTCATTTTTTCAAGCTTTACAAATTTATACCTACACAGAAAAATTAAGAAATGTGGTATTACTGCGATGTTGCTGTATATCCATGTACATACAACAAACTGGCTGTGTACTTGTACTCACATTGTTTGAAGAAGATGCTGCACATTTAAACATTTTGTTGTGACAACTTTGTTTATAAAAACTTACTTTGTAAAGCAGGACTCATAATTCCAAAAGGGGTTTCTCACTGTCCTGTTTTTCCTCAGCTGCTTCTTCAGATCCTAAGTGGTGGGAAAGGAGAAGGAAAATATGTCTCATCCCATTAAAGTATGAACTGATTCACTATAATGTTGACAGGCAAAATAATAAAGATTCATGTTTAAACCTCAAGAGATTGAACATAAAAAGTGACATTTTAGTTTTCACTTTTTACAAGAGAAAAGTTTTTAAAATACAACCAAGCACTTGTACTAACTTCTTAGAAGGACTTTTGCTAGTCTTCCTCAACCCTGATCTCGACAGGCCTGAGAGTGTATTTTTGTATGCAAATAATGTATAAGAAAACCATGTTTAAAGTTCACCGAAATGAGTGAGTGAGGGGATGCAAAGGCTGAGGACAAGGCTGGATGGTTGCCCTCCGTTGCTGACAGCAACTACTGTCCACTCACCCCCCAATCACTCACAAGACCATGTTATTCCTACATATCACACAGCTAGGCAAATCCTTAGGTTAGGTCTCAGAATAATACTTATAATTCATTATCTCAATTTGTCTTTCTAAAGTTAAGACAATAAAGCTAAGCATATTGAGTTTACAAAAAAGCTAGATGATATTTCCATAAAATACCTTTAAACTAGAGTCAGGTTTAATTCATACCAACATGGAAAATACATGTGCATTAGGGCAAAATCAATGCATGATAAATACAATTACAGTTTTAAAGTAAAAGGCCAAATAGATAAGTGAAAATAAAATCTAGAAGAAAATAAACATGTGTCTTTTACATATTTTATGAATATCTTAGGATACCAATAGTAAGCCTTAATTTCTAATTTTAAATGAGTTGTATATGACCTGGGTAGCAGTGGCACGAATACAATGCCGGGAGAATGCCCAGAGCTGTAAACACTGATGTTGTTAATAGGTGTAGAGGAGAGGAAGCTTCAGTTTTGTTCTTTCCAGGATTTTACAAAAACACTTAGCCTTTCCATAGTGAGAGAAGGAAATACAAGGTAGCAGGTTCACACAGACAGCAAGCAGCCCATCTCCACTGATCTAACCTGTGACATGGTTCATTAAAAGAAGACAAGTTGTTTCAGAACTCCGCCTGGATTATAGGCAAGGAAAAAGGTGTTCATGGGGAAAAAATGGTGAAGAATCTTAAGATTGTGTTCCATATCTTAACTCCACAAAGACAGGAAGTTCAAGTTGAATTTGGTGAAATGGTGTGACACTGTTTTCCAACCCACTGGCCTGCCATGAACCATGGAGAGCAGTGTGCTTTAGCTGCTTTCTAATACGAGAGGCGTTTATTAGGCCCTCCTATTCCTAAACTCCCTCTCCACCTGTAGGTCAAAAGCATGGAAACCACCATGAGCAGAAAGTATTCAGGCAATTGTGATCATTCTAAGAAAGAAAAACAAACCACCAAAGTATAGTGAAAACAAACCTTATCTTCAGTGTTTCCAAATGTTGTATTTAGCAAGTAAAACATCTGAGCACCTACAATTAATGTATTCAAATAACTATGTAGAATCAAATTAAAGAACTAAAAGCTAACAAAAGTAAATTAAGGCCAAGCACTAGTGGCCTATAATCCTAGTTACTCAGGAAGCTGAGATCTGAGGATCATGGTTCGGAGCCAGCCTAGGCAGATATATCAAAGACACTCTTTCCAATTAACAAGCAAAAAGTGAGAACTGGGGCAAAGCTGAAGTAGCACAGTATTAGAAAAAGGAAGACTATCAGGACCCAAGTTGATTCAAGCTCCAGTATCAGAAAAAAATCAATTAACTTAAATAAAACCCACATTTTTAAGTAGGAAAAAAATTACAAGAATAAACAAATAGGAATTGGGGGGGGGGGGAAGAAGACATTCTGGACTTGCAAAAGCCGAGATTAATGAAACATTTTTGAATCAAGAAAATACTGAAGAGGGCCAAAAGGCCTGTGCACTGGAAGAGAGACTGACAGAAATTATCCAGTCTTAAGAGACAGAAAACCAAAAGAGTAACTTTCCATAGGACACAGTAAACCTTCTTGTAGAAATCAATCCAGGAAAAATAATAATGTCCACTGAAATACATTCCTAGGAAAGTTCAGAGCTAGGTTAAACTGATGAACTATTCTATAGTAAACCACAGAACAGAAGCCAGCCATAAAAAGACAGATGAGTCCTATCTAATTTTGGGATGAGGGTTATGCTGGCCTCATAGAACAAGTTTGGTAGTGATCTTTGCCTTTCCATTTCATTAAAGAGTTTGAGGAATACTGGAATGAGTCCTCCTTTGAAGGCCTTACAGAATTTGGCTATGAATCTGACTGGTTCTAGGCTTCTCTTAGATGGGAGGTCTTTTATTGCCATTTCCATTTTAATACTTGATATAGGTCTAGTCTATGCTTCCATTTAGAAAGAATGACACTGGAAGTGGTATCCTGGTTCAACATGATAGAACACTAGTTGCCCAGGCCCTGAAGCCTTATGACCAATGAAAGAACGAAAAATGAAGAATGAAGAATGAAGGGAAGGGAAGACATTGCCCTATTCATAAGGAATTGGGAAGATTTAGAAAAAAGATTTAGAAAAAAAATCATCAAATAAGCCAGACTAAAGAAACATAGGTTCCATGTTTTCCCTCATTTGTAATAATTAGAATATGTCTAGGATAGTCCTAGCAGAACAGTTCAATAGCTATGTATATAAAATGATGCTAATCAAAATGAACTCCACAATATGGAAACGAGGATTTGTTTTTGTTTTTAATGTACTGTGTGAAGTTATTTCTTTTTCTTACATTTTTCCCCCTGTGGTTTATACCCTGTTGTCACTGTTTTTGATTTTGGTACCTTGTGTCTTGTATATACATCATATGAAGTAGGCAAGAAAATGTTTCCCATGATAGCACCTGCAACCTTTAGGGTGCTATTTAACCTACAACCTTTTTATTGTTAATAGGTTATTTTGATTCAACCAGAAAATAAATGTATCATTTGCCAGTTAGTGTCTTAGGTGGCAGGGAAGGGGATGCAAGTCCTTGCAGATGCCCTCATGCCTACTAGGGCAGCAGCGCTATATCAGGCTGAGAGTGGTTTATACTGTCAGATAGGAAAACTTGCATTTTTACTTACTGGCATAATGCAAAAATGTTGTTCTAAAGGACACGCTCATTTTATTAGGAACATTAAGTTCTGTAATTTGACCCTTCAGACAATGAAAGTACAAGAGAGCAGGCAAGCTTTTTGAGTGCTTGTTCTCCATCCACTACAACAGATCTCCATTGTCTTCCACAAAGCAGCTCTCCAGAACACTGTGGAATTGTCTGATCCTGCTCAGCTTCACCCACAGAAATGAGAATGTAAAAAAAATCTACTAGGTGGTGCTAACACCACAGAAACAAGCAAGCATCATAACAGTAAGCTTGATGGAGAAGGAAAGCTACAGGTAGAATTCCTCACTATCATGAAACTGCTGATCTGAGCTTTTGTACACTACTATTTGGACACTATGTCAAGGATTATCTAAAGGAATTAGATTTGTCTCAGGAAAATAGAATATAAACTATTTTATTATAATGAGTCCGATGGCATAAAACACTTGAAAGAAATAATTCTTGCAATGAGATCCTGAAGGGTTTAGTACACTTAGTTTCTAGTGCCTTACAGACCTTCTAATCCATGTCTGTATTTCACAAGGTCACAAGCATTTGCATTTGCCACCCCTTTTAGACTGCACATGAATAGTCCACAATGTAGGTGCCCACAAGTTCCTTAGTCAGTGATGTTCACACTGCTGCACCCTTCAACTTACACACAGAGCTTTTGCACAGGAATTTCTTTAGTTAGATTGCATGTCTAAAATGTTGGTAATACAACATTATCTCTAACTCAACGCTAGTGGTAGAAACAGACCGGGTCATTACTGAATACAATGCAGCCAGAGCATAATGAGCTGTGGAGAAAGTTGCAAAGACCACACGGGATACACTGACCAAGACTGCCTGAGCAATGGCAAGGACAGAAAGAGCACAGGGTTTTTGGAACACGTACAGAACAGAAATATCAAGATGCAGAATAGATTGAGGGCTTTGGAGCTCAGCATTTTCAGAAAAGCTACTAGAAGGCATTAACAAGGCCAAAGGCTGGACAAGCAGGTAAAGGAATGATCACAGAGGTGCTTTTTGCCAGGCTAATGGTGTATTTTTTTAGGTCTTTATGTCAGTGAAGGCTTTGGGGTTTGGGTATGTTGCTGGAATGGTCAATTATGCTTTTCCAGACACTGTTGGGCCATGTACACAAGTGCACTGACAATCAGACTCACATAGGAGCCAAGGCTCTAGTCCAGCTCTGCCACTGTTGACATGTTTGAAGCTGAGCAGTTACATCCACCTCCGCCTCACTTGCCCCTGTCTACACCAGGGACAATGTGAGGTTCACACCTCAGAGCCAAGATGAGGAGAAAAAGAATGAACAGTAGTACAGTGCCAAGAGCAGCCCTGCCCAAGAAAGCCGGAGCAACTAAGTAATTTAGGGTGCAGCACTATCACTAATATTTTGTGTGGTAATATCACAAAATGTAGCATCTTAACAATTTCTAAGTGGATCATCCAGAGCTTTAAGTTCATCTACACTGTGGAAAACCATCAGAACCTGTCTCCACAGCTCCCTCTATCCTGGGAACAAGGATTCTACTTGATCCTGAGATGTGACTACTGTAGGGCCTCACCAAAGAGGTTGTGAGTTCCTGACCAAGAGCCAGTAGCTCCTCCTAGCAACTCAGAGAATTGAGATCTGAGAAAAATGGTTCAAAATCAGCAAATAACCAGCAAAAAGTCCAAAGTGGAGATGTGGCTCAAGCAGATTAGTGTCAGCTTTGAGAGTAAAAGCAGAACAAGTTCATACTCCAGTATCGGGAAGGAAAAAGGAAGAGGGCATTGATGACTTATTTTATTTAGCACAATGGGCTCAATGCTAAATTGTGCTATGACATAATTAAATATCACTCAGTGTGTGTGTGTGTGTGTGTGTGTGTGTGTGTGTGTGTGTGTGTTTGTGTGTGTGTGTGTGTGTGTGATATTCTACTGGATGCATACATCTTTGTTTTATTCTTCATCCAATCATGGTATTTGGGTTATTATCTTCTCTGGCCATTGTCAGTACAAAATTCTGTAAGTTCCTGCTTTCGTTCCTCCCAGAAGTATCCAGTTATATGGTGATTCTGTGCTTCATTTCTGAAAGAAACAGTATCTGCTTTCTACAGGATGTAGCTCCGTTTACATTCTCAACTTGAATACACCAATTTGCACACATCCTCACAACACATCTTTACTGTTTTGAAGGGTTTTTGATGCAGTCCCCTTACTTGGGTGAAGGTGTGTCTCACAGTGGTTCTGATCTGCATCTTCCTAGTGATTAGCGACATGAAGCATTGTGTTCATGCACCATTTGGGGTCTTCTAGGAATTTGGTGCTGAGAACACTGTTATTTAGCAGAGTGTTCTGGTAGCTGATGAGTGGAAGGCAATACTGGAGGCTGGGAAAGAGGTTGTGACAAATTCTGAAGCAAGGAATGTTGATCTAGGATTTGACCTGAGAAGAAATGGTAGGACTGGACTGAGGTGAGGGAGACAGAAAAAGGAAGGAGCATTGACATAGGTGTGTGAATGAGATGTGGGACACAATCAAGGTATACAGAGTTACCATTCTCAGCCCTGGGCAATCCCAGAGAACGTTTGGCTTTGCAGTGGAAGACAATGGAGAGTATGAGGACCCGTTCCTCCTCTGCCTGTCTCCTAAAGCAGGGATCATGAATCCTAGGAGCTAGGCCTCTTCCCTACTTTCACTTTCAGCCTCTCTGCCTCACACTCTTCCTAACTCTGAGCTTCACATCCTGATGTGAATGTACACTCAGTGTGCTGACAAAGAGATGAGCAGGAGAGGAAGGAGGGCAGCGCTTTTAAATTATAAGCAAAGACATAAATAGCAATTAAGTCTTTACCTGCTTCAGATTCAGGAGGCGAATAAAACTGACCATCAGAAAGCCCAGCAGGGATGAGGGCTGCTCTCTCTGAAGCATCCTGAACTATCAGGAGCCCTGGAATAGAAGAAATGCAGGCATTGGGATGCGCCTCCCTTCCCCAGGAGTTTGGCAGTGAGATTAAGTATTGTCAAAAGGTATCATTATTAAAAAATGTTCTTATGAACAAATTTACCCTGCAAATTTTTCAATCAAAAATGAAAGGCTTTACTAATAATTCTATAAAGACAGAAAAAAAGTTGTTTTTAAATTGCCTTAATATCCTAGGATATTAAACTCAGTATTGAGTGTTTCTTTTTCCTGAGAATGACTACCTTGTACAAGTATCGACACCAACCTCTAAAACAAAATACAAAGTGAATCAAGACCTGGTCAGCCTGTACAATTGGTCTATCATCGACATCTGGTTAGAGAAACACCAGAAGGCAAGTGTAATACTTCAGTGGCCTTTCATAAAAATATATGAAGAGTAATAAGGTGGAGACACATTTGCTTTAAAGGAGGGGATTCCTGAAGAAAAGATGGCAAAAACAGGTCAGCTCCAGAACACTCCCTCCTGAGGAGGGCGGCCATCACATATACACAGGGTGCACACCTAGCAGTGTACTGTATCTGCCACTGATTATAACAAATGCTGCTTCAAATTTGTCATAAATTGTGTATTGAGCTTTATTAATTACTGTGAAATAGCCACTCATGTGTCCATCTTGTTAAACTTGCAGCACCTTCAGCAGAGTTCATCTTGAAAATCAGATCTAATGAAAGTAGCCTTTTGTGCTTCCTCAGTCTCATCTGCCCCTTCTTTGCCAGAATAGGGGCACAGAAAAGAGACACAACTTGTAATACTGGGGACACTCTTTGAAGTAAAACTCTTTTCTTAAAGACTGCTTTTCTGTTAAGCAAACTTTTCAAAATAAAACTATGTTATTTTTGATCCTGCTGTGTGTGAAGTTATAATCACACTTAGACTGTTTCCTATGAGGTGGATGACAGAAATGGACCCATGTGGCCAATCTAGAGATAGCATGGGTGTCTACACTGACTTGTCAAAGAGGGGTGGGGCAGGGCTGGGCTTCCATGAAGACCTCCTATGGGGAGGGCAGTAACAACAGTGAGCCACACAGCTCAGGCCATCACTGGGCCTTCCAAGTTAATGGTGAGGCAGTCCTGATAACCTAGGCAGGACACAGGTACACATGATGCTGGATGTCCTTCAGAGGACAAGGGAGGGCTGTGTGGGCTGAGCAATGCATTGGTGCAGGGAGGGCAGGAAAGGGCAGGCTAGGTCTGGCTTGAGGTCTCTCTCCTCTGAAGTCCATCTTTCCAGTCCCAAGTCCAGGCACTTATCTGATCTATTTACCACCCACTCAGCAGTACAAGGCAAAAGAAAATACTTTGCAGACCCCTGGACTATGTGGGGAATTGCTGCCTTTTCTCTAATAATTGTTTTCTGTGCCCTTCACCAGCAAAGTTCTGTTGATATGCACACAATGTTGAGTATCTTATCATGAGTATAAATATGGTGGCTACTTTCAATGTCATTTGAACAGGTGCTCACCTGTTCTTTCTGACAATTAGAAAGAGGATCTGCCTGTCACTATCCCACTTACACAACATTTCCCTCTATTTTTGTGTAGCCATGCACCCATCATCTGAATTCACATCTAGAAGCCACATCTCTCCCTTGTAGCCCAGCAGGCTGACTCTGACCAAAACTTACTGTTTTCTTCTTCTGCTTCTTGAGGTAACACTTTGAAATCCAGGAACCATGTCTCAATCCAGGCAAGGATGAATGAAATGATGGGCAGCACATAGCCAAACGCCCCTTGAGAGAAAAGCTGGAGGAAGAGAAATGAACAGGAGGGGGAAGGGCAGTGATCAGCTTGCACTGGAAAGGGGCTAGAGTCATCCTCGCAGAGGACAGTGGTACAGGAAATGGGACAGCCATACCTTTGAGAGGATCACTTTTGCTAATAAAAAGGCACTGGTCACTGCTGTCGTCAACTGTAAGACACATAATGCAGCACGGCTCAAGTGAGATATTTCATATATGAGGGCCTCTCCCTCAGGAGACCCACCTGACAGGAGCAGGTAGTACATGAGAAACACATGCTCCTTCCCACAGTATACTCGCTCTGTCCCCTCCACCCAGACTGGGAGAAAATAGACTCCTTGATGGGTGGCTTATGGTATTTCTTCCCTGATGGTGTACACAGAAGGCTTCTCCATCAGAGGTGCAACATCCAGGGAAGAAAGGCAGGCCAGGACTCTAGGACTGTGAAGGACAGAACATCTGTGCCATGCATGAGCCTTGCCACTTCTGCCTCCAATTAAGATATTCAGGTGTGATAAAATCTGACCAAAATGAATGCCAGGAGCTATGAATGACAGAACCAAGGCCAGGAAACATAAGCGTCTTTCTCAGTGATACCAGCAGAGTTTCAGGAGAAAACATACACTCTAGCCAAAGTGAGCTACTGGGGGAGGAGGCACCTTACCTCCTGGAAATGCGTACTTTACAGGCTGACACTAAGTACTTGCAGGTTCCAGCTGACTTCTCCTTACTGAAAATGTTCTAAATAAGAATCAGAAGAAAGGGGCTGGGATGGTGGCTCAGTGGTAGAGCGCTTGCCTTGCATGCATGAAGCCCTGGGTTCGATTCCTCAGCACCACATAAGCAAAAAGAAAAAAGCTGGAAGTGGTGCTGTGGCTCAAGTGGTAGAGCGCTAGCCTTGAGCTGAAGAGCTGAGGGACAGCGCCCAGGCCCAGAGTTCAGGCCCCACGACCGGACCAAAAAAAGAAAAAAAAAAAAGAATCAGAAAAAAATGGATTTGCTATAACTGAGACATCCTTAAGACATTTTAGTCCAAAGGCAGCGTCACTGAAATTTCTCCTTAAGACAAGTTCACAGCAGATACTGAAGCCACTTCCTTGCAACTCTGAGGGCACACAGGTCAACCTCTTTTGTTGGAAGAGCTTTGCAATGGACAGTGTGGCTAATAGTAGTTGTTTTGAGTGTGGAATCAACCCACCAAATAGAGATTGTTGGAGAAAAGCAGTAAGTTATAATTATCACACCCCAAGTGTGAAAGGGTGACAAGTCAGCTTAGTTAATTATATTCCTAAAATCAAAGTTCAGGAGTGGGTCTAACCTCCTGGGATGCTAAGCATGCTCAGGCAGCTATGACCTCTGGTGGACCGTCTTAGGAACCAGCATAGCCTTCATGCCAGAGCCCTGTTTTCTCTTGAGCAGACTCCTCAGACTGAAGAGCTAGGCAACCCCCTCCCTTGTCAGCATTATCCTCCCTCCTCCAACTGACTCATTCAAGTAGAATTGCTTGCAACCCTTGCAACCTTAATACCTATCAATGAGACACACAAAGTGCCCAAGTTCCATGCTAGATGCAAGGAGAGAGAGGAGTAAAATGTGATGGTCCTCAAGGAGCCAGAAAGAACAAAAAGAAGGTGTGAAGGTGTAGGCAAGCTTTCTGTTTACTTGAACATCAAAATAAATGGAGACCCAATCATGGAGGAAAATCATGGAACAGTATCAAAGAAAAAGAAGAGATTTCCACACGGTTTTGTGACAGAGGTACTATGCTCATCTCTTCTCTACAAAATGAAGTGGAGGGTTTGTGGAAGCTTGGCCAATAACCATGCTGAGCCTCTAGAGTCAATGGCCTGGCATCCTAGATATCTGGCTAGTTAATCCTTGACTATGAAAACACCTCTGGCATGTTAAACTTGTGTTAAACCCACTGAAGTGAGCCAAGAGGGGAAAATCCAGGAAATCTCATCTCCTCTCTCTCAGCTCAGCCTGTGATAAGTGCCCTGGCCACAGCCCTGGAGGGATGACTCACAGAAGTGCCCCGCTCTGCTCAGCATACTCACTGCTATAGCCCACCAATGGCGCAGTTTACATACGGCATATGCAAGTATCAACACTTTAAATCGAAAAACTGCCAAAAGCTAGGGAGAAAATAGAAAGAGAAGATAAGCAATTTAAAATACAACATATACAAAGTAGCACAGCTTTCTAAACTTGCCTGACCATCTTGAGGGTACACTGCTATTATCTCAGAGACGTGTGGATCCCTACGTGTGCCTTCCTCCCCAAGATGCCAATATAACACCACCCAAGTAAAGTTCCCAATTAACTTCTCATTACAAGAAAAGAAAGAGAAAAAGAGAGGAAGACAGAGAGAGAGAGACAGAGACAGAGACAGAAGGGGGAGGGAGAGGGAGGGAAGAAGGAAAAGAGAAAAGGAGAGAGGGATAAGTGGGCACTCTTACAGTGCTATCATACAAAGAGGTAAATTTTCATTTCAGAAACTAGGTTGTACCAATGAGATCTATTTTATATTTTAGCCCGGTGAGAGGGTGACAGAAGGAATGTGGATAGGCTCCCTTTGCTGCCCTCCCTCATCTCCATTCAGAGAATCTATTAGTGAGTGAGTCAGGAAGTAGGGAGACAATGAATAGGGGCGTAACTTAGAGGAAAATTAAGAGTCTGCATATACCAGGAAAAATAATGGTCCTGAGGCCTATTTCAATGGAATGTGCCCCTGGTTTTAGTTTTGTTAGGCTGAAATGAGAGGTACAATGAAAGCTACTTACAAAAATATCGAAATAAGAAGAGTAGTAGTCATACTGCACCACCTCCCTCTCTAAGGTGCTCTCGATGCCTCCATTCACCTAGAAAGAGGGGTAAGAAGCAAATGGGGAGGGATGACATGGCAAGAGAAAACAAGACCAAAGGCCCACATACACTCCTCAGAACCCAGAAATGTTTAAAAAACAAAACAAAAACAGAACAAAAGAACCTGGTGAAAAAGGGGCCCATAGCATGCCATACTTCCTCAGTTCTGAGTTCAACTAGTTACCACATCTAAAATGTACAATAAAAAAAAATCCCTATGTCTGACAAAAACAAACAAACACAAAAAACAACGTGGTAGTTCATATTTGGTAGGTCCTATTTTGGCCAACTATCATGTCACATAAAAAAAAAAAAAGGTGGTGATCACACAAAAGTGTCTTTTAAAGAAAGAAATGCAATGATTTATTCAGGGCTTCCTTTATTTTCTGATCTGTCTGGATAGCTTTCCATCTTAAAAAAGACTTGATCTCATGGCAAACCTGTATGAGAACAGTTACCATGACATAGTTAGAAGTCAAGAATTCTCTGTTGGACTTTTGTCTTTCTTTGCTCTTGGCATTTAAAACATTTCCACTCTTGGCTGGGAATGTAGCTCAGTGGTAGAGTGCTTGCCTAGCATGCATAAAGCCCTGGCTTCGATTCTTCAGTACCACATAAATAAAAAATGCCCAAAGTGGTACTGTGGCTCAAGTGGCAAAGTGCTAGCAAAGTGAGCAAAAAGAAGTTCAGAGACAGTATTCAGGCCCTGAGTTCAAGCCCCAGGACTGGCAATAAATAAATAAATAATAAAATAAAAAATTCTACTTCTATATAAATATGTAACTTGGTTTTTAAAAAATAGAATCAGATCTAGACCTAGAGTTATGCATGATCACCTACTCCTACTGCTGTCAAAATGAATTTTAAATGATAAAGGTCAAAACTGTAGAAATTAAGTATGAAGTACATATTTTTAAAGACATCAGAGAAGATGTATGTTGGACTACTGATGCACTCTGTGAGTGGGGCCCAAGAATCCTCCTGTTCGGAAGGGATGGGAATATGATATACAAGAGTTCACTCAGGTTCCTCATTTTAAACACAATCCTGGTGTCCTCTGAAAGAGGACAAAACAGAGCAATTAACCAGATAACTGTCTGGGAAGAGGGGAAGATTAAGAAAGAACATCTTTGCAAGAGTCCCTAGTTAATTACATAAGTACAAAAGCTGTCACTTAGAGAGTGGTCTCAGCTTACATACAATTTCCTGGATCTGCACTTGTTATGTGAATAAAAGGAAACCACAAGCACTATCTTCTCTGTGCCCTACTAAGGATCTGAGGATAGCTCAAACTGGCTGTAGATCTGCCAAATCACTAGGCTGAAAACCTGGCAGCAGCAAGGCTGTGTCCCCCTCCCCCTCATACTAAGAGAGGTTATCAAAACCCCTACTATTAAAAACAAATGATGGTTCTAACCAGCATTTTCCACAAGACATCCCTTCCATTTCTGATAGCAGTCAAAGTAGCCAGCACAGACCTGCCAGTAGGAAACACCCCTCTTTGGTATCTGTTCTCTTTAAAACATCCTGACTTTGTGCCACCTTTAAAGGAGTTATTTATAATTTAATCTGTAACCTAATCCTTACTTTGCAATCTTTAGTGCAAGCTGTCTCCAATAAAGACCATACCTGCCCTGCCCAATCAAGTTCTTTCTGTTTGAAACTGAACTTCCTTCCCATCTGAAATTGAAAACAACCCAGAATTGGAGACTTTTGGAGTACCAACATGTCATCATAAGTGGAAAACTCCATACCAGACCTCATGTGAAGAAAACTGCAGGCCCACAAAAACTACATCATAAAAGTGCCTTCAGGCCAAGTGTAAAAGCATTGATGAAAAAATTAATTTTGTTTTGAATTGGATCTCATCTCTAAGACCTCATTGTATATATGCAAATATTCAGACTTTTCAAAAATCCAAAATCTGAAATACTTCTAGTCTCAGGCATTTTAGATAAGGGATCTTCTACTGTACTGCTCTTTTAGGTTTCATCATTGGACACCCTGGTACCATCTTGAATGCAAAGGTGTGTAAATTCAGCCTTTCAGCAAGCTTCTGTTATGGCTTCCTTAGTTTTCTCTCGGTGAGCTCTCTCCTAGTCAGACCATCTTTTATGACAATCTTTCAACAACTTCTGAGTTAAAAGTACTTGCTGCCAACCTTCTTCTCATTTAACTCATTCAACACTACCATGATGATCTTAATCCCTTCAGCAGATACCTGATGGGCACCAAGTGCCAACCACTGTTCTAAACAAAACAATGTCTCTGTCTCTCTGACTAGCACTGCAGCAGAAAGTGAGGCTGGCTGGTGAATGATAATTAGAGGAGGCGGCAAATGATGGGAGGGCCTCTTCTACAGGAGGCCACCCTGGGCCCAGTAAGGAGTGCCAGGAACCAGATGCAAGGCTTTCAAGGGAATAAAAGCATAGTGGGTTAAACAGAATGTATTATTACAATGAATTTCACCTGGATTTTATTAATGTAGAACTAGAGAATTCAAAATTAGTATGTTACATTCTGCATTATATTTCTACTGGACAGTATTGATTTAGACAATTACTTGGCAATATAACTGCATTATCCCCCTTTTGAATAAAACTTGCTCAAAGATTTAGAATCAGCAATTGTTTTACAAAATGTATACATAAAAATCTCAAATAAGGTAATAAGAATGCAAGTCGACAGACTACCTAAAATCTATGCCAGAAGCATTTTGTTTTCTCTTAGGAAAAGAACTAGCAAACTTTTCTGAAATGGCCTAGAAAATAATTTTTCCTTTTGAGTCAAAAGGTCTCAACTCAACTAGTTGATACAAAGAACAGAGGTGTAAGTGGATGGATGTGGTTTTGTTCAGCAAGATAGTACCAACACAGACCAGTGAAATTTGTCTCACAGCTTATAGTTTATAAATTCTTATTACTGAGCAAAACATGTTGAAATCCCAATTTCAAGTCCAGAGAAAGTAAAGTTTACCAGGTTTGTTTCAAACAATAACACAGAATATACAGTCTAAATCTGCTAGAGAAAGACAATGTTGCCTTATTTTAAAAAAAGAAAGAAAGATGGAATTCACAGAGACATAAATGATAAGAAAAACTTTTTTAGCTGGGCACCAGGGTAGCTCACACCTGTAATCCTTGCTACTCAGGAGGCTGAGCTCTGAGGATCACAGTTCGAAGCCAGCAAAGGCAGGAAAGTCCATGAGATTCTTAACTTCAATCAACCAGCAAAAAGCTGGAAATGGAGCTATGGCTCAAACAGTAAAGCACTGTTCTTGAAGGGGAAAAAAAAGCACAGGAACAGTACACAGGCCCTAGGACCATTACTCAAAAACAAAAATAGTAATATCCTCCTTCTGGAAATAGATCTCATGAAGTAATTGAAAAAAAATTTACAACTTACATTTAGTTCTATTATCCACAGTAAGGTAACAAATAAGAGGTCAAAGGTGACGAACAAACAGAAAGTCCTTCTGACATCAGATATGCCTTTCTTCTCCCTGCCTTCATAGGACTCGATCCTGGCCATGAGCTGTGCAGGGTTGATGGAATGGACATCACGCAGGGAAGCATGGGAGCTCTGGCTCCCAGTGAGGGTGTTCTCCATGTCTTCTGGAGGTGGCTCGTCCCAGAGAAGGGATAAAGGAACGCTGTTCCTACCTCACCATCCCTAGAGAAGACAAGAGAGACAACATGTTAGCTTAAGCTCACGTAATGCAATCATGTGAGACCTAGTGGCTAATTGATCAATACCGTTTTGACCAAAGGCACTGACTGTGTTGTTGGGCACTAACAGTGCAATAAGAAGCATCACTTGTTCTCAACACTACAAAACAGCTGATTTGGAAAAGGAGGTCGATAAAGAAGGATGCAAACTTGGAGTAGGAATGTGCCATGGAACAACAAAAGGTTTTCCTAGTAACCTGTACTGAGCCTCTTGATGAGAATACCAACCCAATTCCCTTGCTGTGCCAAGAGGTAGCCCGTACAACTTCCTTTCTAATACCTTTTTCAAAGTATGCAGTGCCATCACTCAAACAACACACCACAGAAACAGACACAAATATACAGAAAACAATGAAATCACCATAAGTGAGAACCTACCTGGGCCACACAAATGGACATTTATTAAGGATCAGCCACATGTGAAACATTGTGTCAGTGACTAGAGGGGGAGGGGGGTGGGAGAGACAAATGGAAAAGACCTGATCTTCAGCTTCAAGTTATTCTTTCATAAAGGAGGTAATATCTTCATAAATAATTAGTAAACAAAGTCTAAGGTAAGCATAACACAAAGAAGACTGAATATCAGTGTTGTGGGAGGTTTTTGTGGTCACAACAGGCTTCATAAAAGGAGGGCCTTAGAGAGGATGCATGACTTTAGGAAACCTAAAGCTGCTATGTTCCAAGAGAGAGAGAGACTAAAGCAAACTGAAAGCAGGACAAGTGTGTCTGTACACAGTGAGTCACCAAGTGTCTGGGGAGAATCCCAGGTCATGTGACTAGAGGGCTGGGCTGGGAGTGTGCAGACATACCTGCACAGGGAAGTAAGCATGCCATCCACACCAAAGGTACATCGGCTCAACAGAGGGGCAGGGAAAAATGGCAAAGTCCAAGAAGAAAGAGGTCACTGCTTCTAAAATGCTGGCAGTTTCTTCCTTTCAATGTGGTTAAATAGAGTTCCAGGGCTAGTGGATGTCAATAAAGCTAGCTATACAGCACTCATGGTTCATTTCTCCAGGATACAGGTATTCAATTCCAGAATCCATGTTTTCTCAATGTCTGATGAAATACTTCACACTCAGAAAAGTAGAGGTCATAAAGTTATGAACAATGCCTTTCAAAGTAATGAAAAGTACACTGGCTTTGACCAAGTCGCATTGAGCATCTGAATAGTACAATTTCAGAGTGCTCTGGATGATGAACTTTAATTCACATGCTCTTTTGCCTTAACACAATTTAAGACCATCTCTCTGGTCTACAAGCCCCATCTACCAACCCTCAATTCTACCGTGGAACCTCCACACATAGTCTATCTTTTTCCCTATCAAATGAATGTAGGTTTTTCTAGACTGTGGAAGTATTGCAAAGACCATACAAACAAGTCTGCAAACTGATGGGTGTGTAGTAGGAAGACCCCTAGTCAGGCAGGCAAGCCCACCTAGTTGTCCAGCGTGACAGAGGTCACCACAACAAAGTCGTTAATAAAGAAGCAACTTTATTGAGAAGGTTCCTACAATGACGGTCAGGGCAGCAGCATAGACTTGGGAGCTGATACTACGACCCCGAGTGGCCCCCATTCTTTGGTCTTTAAAGGCAAAATCCATGAGGTTGAGCCCCATCACGCACAGGTGACCAATGGGATTGTAACAGACACAAAGGATTGTACAGACATACCAGACTACACACAGGTGGCCAAGGAGGTTACAGTTTGCCTGTAATGGCTGTTTAAGCCAGCCTATCACCTTGGTTTAAAGTGGCCCACAAATTTAGTGGGTAAGGCTTGGTCTACCTTTTGGTGGGCAAAAGGCGGAGTTCACCATAAGCATGTGCAAAAGGCAGGGTTTACGGTAAGCAAGTGTTGTCACCAATTTGAGCCAGATTACAACCTGTTTTATCGGTCAGTCTTTAACTCAACAATCAAGGGTGGGTAAGGTTGTAAAGGGGAAGGGAACCAGATGCTTTTTTTTTTTTTTTCATTCCAGGAACTAGGCCCATCGACTCTAAAATCCCAAAACATAGGCAAAACAGAATCATACCAGCTTGGGCCCCATCTCAAGGTCTACTTCAGGTGGGGGAAAAATCTTGCCCACATACTGGTAGCAGTGTTTGTCTGCTGGCCTGCACAGATTTCTTAAACCCTGAACTATAGAAGGAATCCAGATCTTCACCTAGCTTCTCTTAGAAAATGTGGGAAATCCTGGCAATAACGCTAGTTCACCAGCACTCCATTTGCCTCTGGTTCCTTCTGGGGAAGTCAGTCTTCAGATTCCTAATAGTTGATGAGCAGTGGAGAGGGCAGTGTTGGGTGGGTGAAGGATAACTTAAGAGCATTGTCAAGTTCCACATCCTATTACTGCTGCTGACTAGTTGTGTAACTTTGGACAAGTTATTTTCTTATGGCCAGGTAAGGGTTCCCAAAGACCACCATGGAGCCGATTCTGATGTAAGCACACGAGAGTCATTTATTACAAGCTCGAGCCTGGACTCACAGCCATCACCGATGCAGCGGGTGAGAGTTGAGAGCCCTGACCCTTCCTCTAGCAGGGTTTTTATAGGGTTTTTAGGGACTTCTATACATCATTGCAACACTTAACAAATCATATCACACCGCGGGAAAATCATAAAATAATTCTAAAAGATGATTAGTGTAACCAGTGGCAGGACCCAACCAGGTGCTAGGGATTGGCTGGTTGATGGGGTTGATGCTCTTCGAAATGATTGGCTGGAGTAGATGGTCTGAACCCCCACCGAAAGGTCCTTATCCTGTTATCTGATGATTAGCTATGGTTAGTGGAATTCTCCATAAAGAGGGTTAGTTCCTGGAATTTGGGCTCAAGGTGATCAAGGGGAGTTGCTGATTTCCTGGAATTTGGGCTCAAGGGGAGTTACTGACACAGTTCCCAGACAAAATGGAATCCAAACCTAAAATTACTACATTTCGTTCACGCTTCACAATTTAATCTAAGTTTCTTTGTAAAATGGGGGCAGCATTCAGACTGCAACCTAACCTTGTATAAACCGATAAACTGGTTTACACAAAATCGTTGTTCTCAATGGGGAGTAGGGTAAGGGATAGGGCTATAAACTCCTACTCAATCTGTGGGACCATTTAGGGATATTTTGGTCATCAGTTCTAGAGGAAGTGTCACTGTCCTCCAGGGAAAGAGGCTAGAGATGGTCCTAAATATTAAGTAAAGCACAGAACAGAACCCATAAGAAAGAATTTTCCAGGCCCAAATTGTCAATGGTCTGGGGAGGAAAAAACTTTGACATGAAGATATCAGAACAGCTCTGGACATAGAGAAAACCCTGTAAGACACAGCATTAGTAGGAGCAAGTTCTGGCTGGTGACACTCACGCTTGCCAAAATAACTTACAGTACCACATGACTAGAAAAAGGTACCTAAGTTACCTGGTTCTGCATCACTAATTCTATAAATCAAGAGGCTAATTCAAGGGGCCAAAAGTGCTGACATCCAACTGTAATCTCAGGTTTGTGGGTAGTGGAGATAAGGGGATTTGGGTTAAAGGCTACCTTGGGCAAACCAATTAGTAAGACCATCTGAAAACAAGCTGTCATAGTGATGCACTTATAAGCCCAGTTATTTGGGAGTGGAGGGGGAGAAGATATGAGGATAGTACTAGCTTAAGAACCTACCTGAAAACTAAACTAATTCAAAGAGGGCTGGGGAGATAGTCAAGTAAGAGAAAAAAAGAAAAAGAAATTCTTTTTTTTTTTTAATATGAAATACATCTTTCTGAAAGAAAAAGAAAAAAAGAACACAGTGAACAAAAATGCATAGTACTTGAAAAGAAATATTGTCCTGGAAGATACGAGACACAGAATCTTGTGACTGCTGCAACTTAGAGAGTACTGAGCCAAACTTCTCACATTCCAGAGGAAAGGTTCTCTAGTCCCAAAAGATGTATTTTAGAAAATTTTGACAAGAGAAATAGAAGAGAAGGATATGAAACTGAAGAGTACTTAGCCTAACACTACCCAATGCCTGTCCAAGAAGACTCTTCAGGCTTGAATACTGAACTCAAGAGTCAGGGATCACTGTGAGTTCAGTTTTGATCTTGATTTATGACAAGAAGGATCTTCCAGATCCTGTCAAGCAAGTGAAGCCATCAGAAAGGCCCTGCTATGGGGATAATTATTTAAGGGGCTGCCAGGAACTCTGACACATGGCCTGTATCAGGCTCTGCTATAATGAGTCCTGAATGCTGATCAGGCCATGGGCCTACATTGCAAGTAGCAAAGGGCCCTGCCTTCTCTCTCTGAGCCTTAGTTTTCTCATCTGTAATATGAAAAGGTAGAAACTGTTGTGAATTTCCAGTAACATAAACACAGAGAACACTGATATCATTTATGGCAATGTGCTCTCCATGTTTATCACCTGAAGATTTGAATTCCTCTCAAGGGACCTGAGAAGTCAGTGCCTTAAACTGAAATAGGAGACAGGTTCTACTGAATCAAAGCCAAGAACATCTACCAGTATTGCTTACAAAGCTGAGGTCAAGAAAATGTAAACAAATTATATTAAGTGAAGTAAGCCAGACCCAAAGAAACATAGGCCCCATGTTTTCCCTTATTTGCAATAACTAGTATATATCTAGGACAAGCAGAAAAGCTCCAAAGCTATGTACATGTGACTATATAAGATCATGCTAAGCAAAATGAACCCCAAGATAGGGATACAAGTAGTTTTACCTTCTTGCTGTTGTTTTTAATGTATTTATAATGTACCATGTGATTTTTTTTGTTTCTTTTGTATGTATAACCCCTGTTTTCACTGTATTTGATTCTGGTGCCCTGCATCTTGTATATACATTTTTCTAATTTGGGGAGGGAAAAGGAAATAATATGCTGAAATAGATTACAGGCTGACCCATTGTAACAATGAGATGTACAGGAACTTGAAAACGAACTTTACAACCTGGAGT